GGAAAGTTGAGAACCAAAGCGTTGAATGCATGGGTAGTAAGGGGTGGGGCCTTTGAGAGGCGTTCATGTGTGAGGGGTCCCTCAGGTGTAGGACTGTCATGAACGAGGCTAAAGGAACCCGTTGGCCCCTGCTACCGCAGGAGTGCACCATAGGAAGCCAGCAGTCTCCAATCTGAACTATGGCTCTCACCAGAACCTAGTTGTGTGACTCCCCTGATCTTGGACTCTACAACCTCCACAACTATGCGTACAGATTTCTGTTAAAACCATGCAGCTGAGGTATTTCATTAGAGTTGTCGAAACAGGCTAGACAGCCTTCAAGGCCCAGTGATCACGTGACTATGGCCTACTCCTTAATTACAGCTCACCACTCTTCCTTTTTTCCATCCATCAGGCCTTAGAGACCCAAGCTCAACCTTGCTTTGCATGCTTTTAATCTCTTGTTTCTTCAACTGGAAATCTTTAATCCCCTCCCTCATGCCAAGTTCTTCTCACCAGGCCCTACACCCAGGTTTCCATTTTACATTTTGGGGTGGGCCCTTGTGTGTTCGAAGCTGCTGCAAGGGTTTCAGGGTGCAGTTAGAGTGGAGAAACAGCTCTGTCTCTAATCCATCGTCTTGATTATCTTCTTTAGACATCAGAGCACGATACATTGCTCATTTGTTACATTTGGGATTGTTTGCCTCCCAAGAGCAATGGCTCTCTCTGTGAGTGCGGTCTAGTAGCCTCTTCAGCAGAACAGGGAGTTAATCAGAAATGACAAGTCTCAGGCCCCACTCTGGGCCTTCCTGGGGATTCTGAGGTAAACTGAAGTCTGAGAACTAACACAGCGAGGGGAGGCTTTGGGAAGACAAGATCCCCATCTGCATTGTTCACACATTGTTTGCTGAGGAGCAGAGCCCAGATGTGGAGACAGGGCCCAGTAAGCCTTTGATGGATGTATGAGCGCTAGCACACCTTAACCATATTTTTTTTTTGTTGTTGTTAAAGCTCACATATAGATGGAAGGCTAAAGGCGAGAAATAAAATAAGCCCAGCACCCCAAACACAACCTTTACTTTATGCTTCAAAATCTATGCATAAAACATCTTTTTGCACATCATGAACATTTGGAAAACTTTGTGAATTATTAGAATCTCTGTTTCTCCATTTTTTTTCTAGTAAATTTTATAAATTTGGCATACCCCAAACTACTCCTCATTTGACAAGGTATTATCCTAATATTTACTTAGAACTGCAAAATTATCTGCTGTGTCTAAGGTCATATACTTGAGAGGTTGAATCTATTGCTTTCTTCTTTTCCCTTTAAAAGTCCAGAATTATACTATGAGGGACAACATCAGAAAACCCTTAGACCAGCTCTGTAGCTTTGCCGAGCTCCTGAAGAGGGTTTGGGTCAAGTTCTTGATGAAGAAATGAGGAGGCTGAGCCTGGATCCCGATGCCCCTCGCTAGGTGAGACATGAGCCCTGTGAGTTGCAGAGCTAAGCCATCTGAACATTTACTGTATTCATTCTCACATTGCCTCAAGTGCTTTTGGGCTTCATTTCTAAAAATTTCTGCAGTCTCCTTACCAATACATTGTTGGGCGGGCACAAGAAAGAGCAGATTTCTCAGTAACCACTTGGGTCATAAAATGGTCCCCCGTATGGATGGTGTCCCACCTGGATGGTCCTGCCTGAAGGAGGCTGGTGTTACTGGAGTGACAGCAGAAGAGCTTGGGAAAGGGGGGAGGGTGAGGATTAGAGGTACCTAACCTGTTCATCTCTGCCTCTGAATTCTGGGCCAAAGATACAGAAAGTCAGGAGCCCCCCCTTGCAGTCTCCCATCCCAGGGACACCTGACATATTTCCCTGGAGTTAGCACTCTGAAAATAAGGAAATTCATGGTAGTCATGACAAAAGTAGGCAGGACCACTGTTTCCTTGTTCTGATAAGCATGGCCATCTTTGTGAAGAACTCCCCTCAACTCCAGGAGACAGTCCTTTTTTTCTCATGGAACTGCTCTTTCTAGAATGTTGCATAATGTAGAAAGCCCCAAGCTCTGAGAACTGACAGATTTGTGATCATAACCCGATTTCAATATTTAATGCCTGTGTGCCTGTGAACATGTTATCTACTCTCTCTCTCTCTCTCTCTCTCTCTCTCTCTCTCTCTCTTTCTCTCTCTCTGAGACTTAGTTCACTGAGCTGTAAAATACACAAAGGCTTATGTATTATGTATTAATGTTTAGAATGAAAATGCCTCCCATAGCTTATAGACTTGTACATGTGGTTCTCACTGGTGGAGTGGTTCTGGGCAGTTGTGGTACCTTTAGGAGGGAGGGCCTAGCTGGAGGAAGTGGGTTACTGGTGTGTGGGGGCAGGTCTTATGGCATATACACTAACCCCAATTCCAGCCAGAGTGTTTTTATTTCCTGATCTGCTGATCTGATGAGCCACAGCCTCACACTCCCATTGCCAGGGACAAGAGCTGGTCCTATTGCCATGCCTTCTCCACCATAGTGAACCGCATTCCATTACATGATGACACAAAATATGCTCTGCTTCCCTTAGGTTGTTCAGCAGCAGAGTGACAAGGGACACATCTAATACAGGCAGTTGATATCTCTAAGAGTTATTACATGATTTAATAACTGTATCTCTCTCTGGCTCATGTGTGTTAACTGCTAATATCATTTTCTTCTTGGGCTCCTGGGAAGTGTCTGTATCTGCTTAAGAAAGTGTGTTGGGGTTGGAAGGAAGGAAGCCAACTTCCCCCAGTGTCCAGTATGTGCCTGGGCTGTGATGGCTGCTTTTTAATTATGCTTTTCTATTCCTATTAGTCCAGGAGGAAAATCTCTTCCAGCACTGGCACCACTAGATGGAGAAACAAACCTGGAGTTTAAGACACTTACAGAAAAACATAGGAGTGGAAAGTAAAGTTAATGGACAAGGAGCATAAGTGTAGACTTTTGTTATTACACTATGAAATCTCTCAGGGGGAAAGTTAGAGTCTGCCCATTATAATGTTGTTTAGTGTGCCAAAGGTATTCTGGGGAGCAGAAAAAATACAATTTTGATAATCTGCAAAGACAGACATACACACACACACACACACACACACACACACACACACACACAAAGGTAGGCATGCATTTACAGCATTGCAGGGGGTTATTTATATGTCTGTCACTGTCAAGAGGCAAACTTTAAATGTATCCTTAAGAAAAGAACTGTATTGGAAGTCTTAAATAACTCTGTGTGTGTGTGTGTGTGTGTGTGTGTGTGTGTGTATGTGTGTGTGTGTGTTCCCCGCTGCGTCATTTTCAGATAGTTTTGTCAATGAAAAATCATCAATGCTTATGGTGAGCTTTTCTATATCACAGTAAGAAAAAAGAGGAAAATGAAAGAAAAATAACTGAAATGTCTACTTGTACTATTCTAAAGAGAGAGAGAGAGAGAGGGGGGGGGAATAGAAATAAGAGGAAAACATACAAGAAATCTCCAACCATATGAAAATGATTAACATAAATTACAGTCACCACATAACTGTTTGAAATGTCCTGTCACTAAAAATGACATTATAACTTAGATATTAGCCAAGCTATTTTAATTAAAATTCAGCGAGTAATGGCTTTACACATTACGATAGCACAGGAAATTATACTTATAAAATATGTATTTAAACTGATGAAATCCTAGAAGAATATGCACAAGCGTATAAATTGTCCCTTAGGATTAGAGAATTCTTCATTGTTTCATTTATATAGATCTATGTTTCTAAGAAGCTCTTCAATTAACATGTTTTACTTCCACAGTAAGAAAATGGCATTTCTGGAGAAATAGCTAGTCAGTTCAGTTTCTTTTCTTTTCCGAAATCGTCATACTGTTTCCCTCTAGAAACCCAGCTGTAGCTCCCCTTTAGTTTGGCATCAGTAACAAAGTCAGGGCCGTTTTCGAAGAATCCTGGACCCAAAAGACTCAGCATGGAGAGACTGCGGGGTGGGTGACACCTCAGAAATAGCTGCTAGGAGGGCTGTGCACCTCCATTTCCTCAGTGCTGTGCACACCCCTCCCCTCTGACTCTGCAACTCTCACCCCATCTCCCTTCCTGCTCACTCTCACCCCCACTGCACTGACCTCTACCCTCTCTTCATCTTGCCTCAAACCCTTGGCTTTCCCCATGACAACAAACGTAGCCCACCAACTGTAGTCCAGTAACTGCATCTGTATCAGGACAAGGGACGGCATATCCCCAGTCTTTGTTGGGTGCCTGGTGGTGTACAGAGATGGTCTTGACATGAAAGAAAAATGGCTCTCTTCTTGAATCAGGGAGAACAGTCCCACACTGTTTGGAGGAAGTTAAATTGCTTTAGATAAATAATGGGAAATTGGTGGAGCAGAATGCCAGTGTTTTTAGCTTAGCTGCATTATAAGTTAAGGTAGGTTTTGCGACACACCTGGGAGCCCACTCACTGTTTTAATGAGCTCCAATAATGTTTGCTGATTAACTTTGGGAACACAGCCTGTCCCTAAGGTTTGGACGACTCAAGCTTTGCTTTCTTTGCTTAATTAAAATAATAAAAATGCATTTTTCAAACACAGCAATTCCTTTTCCAAAATCCCCTATGTCCTTGCCAAGTGGTACCCCTCAGCAGCAAGGCTGCCCAAGGCATGTCACCGGGATCTTGGTATGAGACCCAAAGTACTCACCCAGGAGCCGTGGCAATGTTACTGCCCCGTTCAACAGTTTTCTTCAGTGTCAAAGACAAAGAATTCAACTCTTGGTTCTGAGTCAAATACCTTCCTCCCTTCTGACAGCTAGCCTCAGAAAAGGGAACTCCCAAAGCCTCGATCTCAAAGGGCATCATAGACGCAGCAGCTTCCTCCACACAAGGACAACAGTGGGCAAGGGGCAAGTCTAAAGGCAGTGAGAACCTGACCATAAGCCCCCTCTTCCCCAGTAAAGAAGACTGGCATGCTTGCCAGGAGACCAGAGAGTTAGAAGATTGGTGACTTACCATGTTTGTTGGGAAGAGCAGCTACGCCTTGGCACTCTGCGACCCTGCAAACGCTGTGACGCCGGCAATGAGTGTGCAAGTTAGCTGTGAAGAGCATACTTCCTTTTCTGAGCAGTGTGGTCTAACCAGCCTTCACACATTGATATGGAAGGCTCTATTTGCATTTTATCTCAGCCCAGGAACATTGTATGACTGGCCAGGTTTCTCTTTGTTATAGTTAATAACGCAAAAAAAGGGGGTAGAGGAAGCTTTGAGGTTGAAAGATTAACACCAAATTTAAAAAGGGTCTGGATTCTGAATTCTCAGGGTTATTAACCTGTTTATACTTAACAGCCTCTATTTTGGGATGCATGTGAGTATACCTGTTGATTATCTATCTATCTATATCTATCTATCTATCTATCTATCTATCTATCTATCTATCTATCTATCTA